GGAATAGGAATTTGAGGCATGCTTTGGTACAAATTTAAAACTTTCATGTGCCGGACCTAAAAACATCTCACTATATAAATTAAAGGATATTCTCTTAGTCACATCTTACAAAACCAGTTGTTGTTAAATATTAATTGACATTTACCTTAGTTTTACCCAATCGTTACTATTTCCACTAGCCATCAGGGTTTCTAGTTCATCCCTCCCGCGAAAGGATGGAGGGCGCTCATTTATACGTTGTGGTAAGACCTCAAGCAATCCGACAGGGATATATCTAAAAGCAATTAATTAGTTTAATCTTTACAGACTAAATAAAAATAAAAAAAATAATCAAAGTACCTATATAGGAAACTCATCCATTCGCAAAAGAATCTTCGAGTTTGATTAATCCCCTAAAAAATTAGCAAGATATAAATCACATTCACAGCATAAATGATAACAGAAAATCCAGAAAAAAAGATGATAGCTCACTATAGAATCAGATCCCCAATGCTCCAATCCGTAATTGCAAAACTTTTTCAAAATATCTAATCTTTCTCTAGATGAAATATCATAATGCCTCTTTGATTTGATTTCATCAAATATCCAAGGTTTAATCTTCATGATTACAACAAAGTTTATGAGATATTTATTCAAACTTAATAATCGACAGTATTGAACTTAGATGGTTGCTCACCAAAGCACCACGTCCGATCATGATACCATCAACGTGATGCTTGTTTATATGCTCATAATAATCTGTATATCCGAGAACATCTCCATTGCCTAATAATATCTATAATTAATATTCACGAGAAAAAGTCGAAAAAAGTACAGTGTTATATTACCAAATAGTGGCATCTCATTTACAGTATATGAAACTTTAGAAATGTATTGCCAATCAGCGAGTTTAGTATATCGTTGTTGGCGTGAACGACCATGTAACTATTTTTGGTCAATAAAATAGAACATATATTTGTAAATGTAATTTCTATAATATTTAAAATTTAATGGAATTTGGTTTAAAATAGAATATTAACCGTAGCCATTGACACGCCCTTAAGAATAAATAGAAATATTAGTATGTTGGTCAATGACAAATTAAAAATGGTGTTAAATATAATACTCACCCAATTTTCGAATTTTGGCATAAGTTTATGTGCAACTGGTATATCATCCTGAATACCTGTGCGCAGTTTTACAGTGATTGGTATATCCGTAATCTTTAGCGGGATGAATCAAATTAATTAATTTTGTAAGGACATTAACAAATGTGGCAAATAATTAATTCATACTAACCCTGTTCATGCCACGAAGTATCTTCCCTAATTTTCCATCGTGTCGCAAAAGTGCAGTCCCCCCTCCCTAAGTCCAAAACAATATATGAGCCATGTTTTTTCTGTAATGCTTGTAAATATTCACCAAATCTTACCTTATTATAAACCAAGTCTATTGGACATCCCAAATTGACATCAATAAAATCAACTTCAATCTCATTAGACAATACTTCGGTACATTTCACCATATGCTGTGCCTTGCATCCACAAATTTGAACACCAAACATATCTTCACTAACATGTCTTTTCAATAATGCCCACTCGCTTTGTTGTCCCTGAAGCAAATTTGTGGCCATTGCCATTTCACCGCATGTAATATCCGCTCCAAACTCTTTACATATGCGACGAAAAGGAAGATTACCAACTGTAGTCAATGGAGCAAGATATAATTTGTCTTTGAATGATATCTTAGTAGTTTGATAAAATAAAATTAGCGAAACAGGCAAATTAAAAATAGTTGAAAAGAATTATATTTAAATACCTTTTTCTTTTCACAGGCACGAAGTGGTACATCGGGAGTATCACTTGATTCTCCAAAGTCGTTGGTTAAAACGATATCATCTGATTTCGTTTCACAAACTCCTTCGTTATCGTCTTTAAGTGTTTGCCCAACCAAATTTTCATCACTGAGTTCCGTTGTCGAACAATGAATATCTACTCCCACTGTAGATACATCCGATGCGTCAGTTACATTGTTATTTTGCGAGATAGCAATTTGATCGCCTTTATCGATAACTATGTTTGTAGCTTGTGATTTAGCCAATTTGTTTTGCTCCTGGATTTGCAATTGCTTTGAAATCTCTTTTTGAATTTCTTTAATATATACATCAGATTTCGGAAAACTATACTAATATATAAAAAATATTAGGTTATTGTTAATTAAACGAGCATTTGATTTTAACAACATACCGAATTTTTTCTGAGAAGTCTTTGCAATTCATATGTTAGGACATTTTTTTCTTCGACTATTCCTAATGAAGCAAGCTAAGAAATAAATTACAATAAATAAAGCAGGAAAACATATAAACAAAGTGTTAAATGAATTAAATTTACCTTTTCATTCACAATTAACTTTCCATCAGGAGCCGTATGCGCTTTAGAAAATCGGCACTTGTATCCATAACGACATCTTAGTAAAAGGAGTTAGTACATTTTTATTCATTAAGGATGATAAATTAAATAATAATACTGATGCTTACTTTCCAAATTTCTCGAAATTCACACATTGACCTCCTAAATCTTCTTCCTTTATCTCCAAAAAAGCGTTCAAATCATGATCGTATTTGCACCTGCTCACAACAATTAGGATATAAAACTATCAGATAAAAATATGAAATTCATATAATCCATATTCAGCATTATAAGCATACTGATCAAAATCGCATTCCTCTCCAATTGCAATTTTATGGCATAACTAAAATTATAGATAAATATGAGTTAATCTAAGTATGATACAATGGATATTCTAAGATGAATAGACTGCTCACACGTTTGACTTCAGTAAAAGTCTTTACTACACGCTCCTTATATCGTTTATTTGATTCACGTGTTCTTGTAACTCGATTCTTCTTTTTCGGAGGTTCCTAATTGGGGAATTGTAATAAATTACACATTTTAGTAATAGTATCTTATTTCTTGAGCACTAATGTGATTCATTACACAACCTCAGACGTTGTATCATCCTGTGTATCTTCAGAAGTAGCTTCCGTAGCGAGTTTTCGCATTATATCTTCTTTTTTGATAATGTATCTGATCAAACATTACTAAATTGAGTCTTTGAAATATGAAGATAACAACAATTCGCTGAAGAGAATGAATAAAAATCGCTGATTACTCCGGTTTGATAGGTGCAATTCCATTTCGATGTAATTGATCCTCCGAAGAATTCATTGTCGATTTGCATGAGTAAAGATTGTGGCCAAAATTTCTGCGGTCATTTATATACTAATCCGGAAAGATCCACGTTAAAAATTACTTTTATATTCACTGAGGGCGGTCCCCAAAAGTGTTGCAACGTGACCTCTGCTTAGCGCTAGTGTTACTTGCCGAAATTCAAAAAAAAAATTTTTCGGTTTATTTAGACAAATGAATTTCGACGACCATTTGTTAAAAAGATTACTTATGTTTCGACGATTACTAAGTGAATTTTGATGAGATACTTTACATCTACCGCAGCACACATTTTGCATTTTCTAAATGATCTCTAAATTTGAGAAAAATTTTAAACTATCTAGGTTTTTCTGATATCTTGGAAACATTTAGGCAATTGGGGTTTTTCCAAACTTTGAGCGAAAATATTTAGTCTACAAACATTAACTGATGTTACTCAAATTACTCGAAACGTCCCGAACTATGGGTTTTTACTGCTTTGTCCTTACTATCAAATATTTGTGATACTAATCACACGGTTTGGCGTCTAGAGCAGTTTACGTGTCGGCTTGTATAATTACTCGTATGCTGCGGCGAAGGTCACGTTACATCACTTTTTTAGGATGATTTGATCAGCTGCACTATATAACCTTCTCAATTGCGCTAAATTCAATAATTTTTAACGTGTGAGGTACACATGAATACACCTTTGTAATAACCAGTAATTATGATATATGATTGGAAAAGCGTTATTGCCTATATTTTCTTATGTTCTCTGAGATTAATTTGTGCTTTTTCGACTGGATATATTCATCCCGATGAATTCTTTCAATCCCCAGAAATTATGGGCGGTTCGTATTTTGATAAATCTTTTTTATCATTGATTAACATCAATTATTGATAAAAGAACATTTGATAATAGGTGATGTATTTGGATTTGAGGTATTTAGGCCTTGGGAATTTGAAAAATATCCGCAATGTCGTTCTATAGTCATTCCGTAAGTAGTTAATATTGGAATTATATTTGAATAGTGATTCTTCCATTCTAAATTATTGCATTAATAATAAAAATTAGGGCTTTGACTGTCGGATTGCCATTTAAATTTTTAAAAATTTTGAATAGTCTGAGAACAGGATTAGGATTTACTGGTACATTGATTGTTTAATAGACGCCTTTTAAACTTATCGTAAAATTATAGCTAATTATCACAATAATTACATAGATATCATTAATTCATATTCCATTTTCATGACACAAAGACTTAGTTTCTTTTTCTTGT